GCTATGTGGCAGAAGGCAGTGAGAATCTCGTATGTAAGCTAGTGAAGAGCTTATACGGCTTGAAGCAGGCACCGAAGCAGTGGTACAAGAAATTTGATGGTTTCATGAGGGACATAAATTTCTTGAGATGTCACACCGACAATTGCTGCTATTACAAGAAGACCGAGAACTGTTATCTTATCTTGCTATTATATGTAGATGACATGTTGATTGCAGGAGCTAGTTCAAGGGAGATTGAGAAGCTAAAGAAACAGTTGTCAGAACGTTTTTCCATGAAGGATCTTGGAGAAGCAAAATAGATTTTGGGCATGCGAATCGAGAGGGATGAGGCAGCGGGCAGATTGTATCTTTCACCGGCAGAATATATTCATAAGGTCTTGGAAAGATTCAGAATGCAAGATGCAAAGACAGCAAGTGCACCGTTGGGTAGTCACTTCAAGCTTAGCAAGGAAGACTCACCGAAGAACAAGGAGGAGCATGCTCAAATGCAGAATGTCCCATACGCATCGGCAATTTGCAGCATAATGTACGCGATGGTGTGCACAAGGCCAGACATTGCACATGCGGTGGGAGTAGTGAGCAGATTCATGGGAGACCCCGGGAAAGAACACTGGGAAGCTGTGAAGTGGATCATGAGGTATTTGAAAGGTACTGCTTCTAATGCTTTGTGTTTTGATGGGAAGAATGTAGAGCTGCTAGGACATGTCGATGCAGACCTGGCATCGAATGACTCGGATGGATTGAGGAGCACCACCGGGTATGTTTTTACATTTGGTGGAACGGCAGTTTCCTGGCTTTCGCAGCTGCAGAAGATTGTTGCATTATCTACCACTGAAGCTGAATATGTGGCCATTACGGAGGCAAGTAAGGAGATGGTGTGGCTTCAGAATTTACTTGGGGAACTTGGGAAGGAGTACAAGAATAACATTCTTTACAGTGACAATCAAAGTGCTATCTTCTTGGCCAACAACTCAGCTTTTCACAAGAGAACCAAACACATTCGGTTGAAGTATCACTACATTCGTCATCTTCTGGAGATAAAGGCATTGCAACTTGTGAAGATCCGTGGGAGTGAGAATCCAGCAGACATGTTTACTAAGGTGTTAACCTTGGAGAAATTGAAGCTTTGCATAGCTTCAATTGGCCTAGGTACTTGAAGATGAAGGCCGACACTACCATGCTTACAAGGGAGGTTTGAAGAAGACAGTCTCTAGGCGGGAGATTGTAAGGTGTTAGAGACAGTTTCTTAATTTATTTTTGGAAACACGCTTCTTAATTTATTTTAGGAAACACATCGTAGTTGCCTTGGGGTTAGGATTTAGTTCTCTATAAATACAAGCTCTCTCCCTTGTAATCATTGAGTGTGGATCCGAAAATAGCAATAATATTCCTGGCTTGGTAGCGCCCCCAGACGTATTCATTCGTGGCGAACTGGGTTACCAAATTTTCGTGTGTTCTTCTTATTATTCATCGCGTGCGTGAGTTTAATTCCTAACTACTTTCACATCACCATATCCTTGGGTCTGTAATAAGACTGGTACTTTCTCACAGTTATTTTAATGGCTCCAAGACTAAAAACTATCGACAATTTTATTATAAAAATGTCTAAAATTAAAAATATTTAAACAAGACTAATTCATCCACTCCCTAGTTATGAGAGTATGTGACCAAGTATGTGCATTTCCACCCATACAAATAATAGCATAATTGGGATTAAATTGAACCTTATAAACAATATTAAATGTTTATAATGTTTAATGATTAAAATGATTTTTATCATTTTAAACTTAATAAAACTGAGCTGAAACTATGATAAAAAAGCGTGGAGAATAATAATTAAACAATTAGTTCCACTTTAATAAGGGAATTTTCAAATCTGGACGTATTTTGTATAATCAATTAAGTATGAAGTCACAACATAAACTAAGAAAGTTTTAATCTACCAAATAGAAACCGTAATACCACTGAGGTACCGTGTAAAGTTTCCCTTTTTTGTATTCTGCAGCTCGAAGATGATTCAGATGACGCAGGGCTCTCTCTTCCAGCCAATAAGCCCTCAGTGCTTCTTTTTGTTGATAGATTTTCAGTTTCGTCAACTTTGAGAAAAGAGAGCAAGAAAGCTATTGATGCCTTTAGAGAGTTAGCACTCCATTATCATTATCATAACCTCGAGAGTAGAAAAGATAACCGAATTTCAGAAATGGCATCTGTTAAAGCACTTCAAGCATTGAGGAGTACTTCTGAACACCATAGAATAGATCTGTTTCACGCAGCACAAAAGATAAATGCCAATGACAAGATGTCTTTTGTTATAATGAATGATGGGAAACATGTCTCTGTTGAAAACTTCGCTGATTTGCAAGGGAGTTCTTTCCGTGAGATATTGACACATGTGCTTAAGCAGAAGGAGCTGAGGTTAAGCACAATTGCAAAAGGTGCAGGATTCCAACTCTTATCTGAAGATCTTAATATCGAACTTGGTGGCGTTTTTGCAGCGCAGGTCAGTGATCACCCTGACCACGCTTCTGAATCCCCCACAAGTATAGCGACTACAGGTGCTCATGATTCCGAGTCTTTTTGTAACAATGGGCCTTCTAATGTTCAAATAGAAAATGCTCAACCGTTAGTAGTGCAGACAGAAGATCAGTCTGATCAACCTCCTACAGGAAACCCAGAATGGGTTCAAGAAGATACGTTGGACTTGGATGCAATTCAGGTGCTACATAAGGCAAATCCTTTTCATGGACGACATATGCTGCAACCAGAAGTCCCTGCTGCTGAATCTTTTGAGCTATCTAATGACAAGAACTTTATTGAAGATCCTCATGTTCAAGAAGCAACAGATGGTTCAGGAAGTGAGAGGATCTTTGAGAAAGATCTCAAGGTAGATGAGGAAAAATGCAAGGAAGAACATGAAAAAGTGATCAACTTGGAATATGTGCAATCTTTAGCAGTGCAGACAGAAGTTCGGACCAATAAACCCTCTGGGGGAGACCCAGACGGAGCTCAAGAAGCTATATTGGACTTAGATATGGTTCAAGTGCTAGAAAGGGAAACTATCGCTTATGGAGAGCAAGTGGCACAGCCAGATCTCGCTGCCTCTGAATTATCTAAGAAGAATACTAAAAAGAATATTATTGAACATTCTCATGTACAAGAAACCACATACGGTTTGGGAAATGGGAAGATATTTGAGAACACTCTTGAGGTAGATGAGAAAAAACAAGAGCGAAATTTCAGAGGTTCCTTCTTCTTTTGTGATGGTCAGTACAGATTACTTAGAACCCTAACTGGAGGGTTAAAGGTTCCATCTGCAGTAATAGTAGACCCCACGTTGCAGCAACATTTTGTTTTAGCTGAACAAGAAGTTTTCAACCATTCTTTGCTAGCTGAATTTCTTGATAGATTTATCAGTGGGAGTCTTTCTCCATATCAACAATCTGAGCCTTTTGCTCAAAGTCCCAGGCTAGCCCCAAAACCACCATTTGTCAATCAGGATTTTCATGAAGCAGATTCTATACCTAGGGTAACAGCAAATGGCTTTACTGAGCTGGTTCTTGGAAACCATTCTGACTCTACGTATGGTAGCAATTCTCGGAGTCGAGATGTCTTGGTTCTTTTCAGCAATGCTTGGTGTAGTTTTTGCCAGAGGATGGAGTTGGTTGTTCGTGAAGTATATCGAGCTATTCAAGAATATTTAGATATGCCTAAGACTGCATCTGGTGACTATAAAAAGCCACTGGCTGATGGTAAGTTGTGGAGTGTAGCTCAAGTCCCATATCAATAGTTACCTCATACCTTTTATATTCGAATGTCCAGTGAATCTTCCCAGATGTACTGTCTGGTTCTTACCCCATATTGGTCTTTTTTGAAAAAGTATAATTCAGCATCATCAGCTTGAATGTCTTGTAATTAACTGGGGTAAAAGTAAAAACGCATAGGAAGCTGTTCAATTTTGTGCATACAGCCATACAATCCACAGAAGTATGGATCACCATTAAAATGCACATAATAAAACAGTTTGTCAAGGTTTACTTGTTTATCATCGCTATTAGAGTTCTAGAGATATGCATCCGTGGTTATTAAATAATTGAAAGTGTTACTTTTGCACTAAAAATTTGCATTCTGCATGGCTTAATGACCTTGACTTTTTCTCATTTCAAAAGTAGAGAGAACATAAACGAATCATGACATGCTACGAGCCTACAATAATTTTTTTAAATCTCATTTTAAGTGCAAACTCATCATTTTGGTGCCAATAAATAGAATTTGACTTGTAAAAAACTGCTGATATGAGCCTTCTAGTTCTTAACTTGTAAATTAACTTGTGGCAGATGGTCTGACAAATATCATTGCGAAGCTTCCATTGATTTACTTGATGGATTGTACATTAAATGACTGCAGTTTGATTCTGAAACCTTTGTTTGAGGTATGACATTGTTATTTATCCACAATGAAAAAATACAAGCCATATGACCTTTATTTCAATAGGTTTTCACCTACGCCTATCATTTTGCCTTACTTGTACAGTTGTACAGCCTTTAGTGTATGTTACTGGATTAGGAGTGCCACATGTGGTACTTTATGTTACTGGATTAGGTATGCCACATGTGCTACTTTGTTTTACCATTTTTGCAATTGGTGCTATAACGAATACGTGTATTTTGTGGATGCTGCTAGGTAACAAGTACACAGTAGAATTATATGTATATTAAGCAATGTATTCTGTAAACTGAGTAATAGAGATTAAAGATGCGATGAAATCACAATATATTATTCATTGGGTGTAGCCGGTATAAATACACACAAGTCATAGAATACCAAAAGGAAACAAAATCTGCCAAATTTACACAGAATATTTAGTCTATCACATATAATATATTAACTACCATATATATACATATAATATATTGACTATTAAATATGTATATTCTAACACTCCCCCTCAAGCTAGAGCATAGATATTAATCATGCCCAACTTGGTACAGATGGAATTGATAGGTGTCCCCGGTAGAGCCTTGATGAACACATCTGCGAGTTGATTTCCTGTTTTGATGTGTGGAGTGCAAATTGTACCATCTTCTACCTTTTCTCGAGTAAAGTGAGATCAACTTCGATATGCTTTGTTCTTTCGATCATTTGCAATATGGATAGCTGCATGATTTTCACACCATGATCTCATTGGTTCTGTTGGAGCAAATTCAAGTTCACCAAGCAAATGTTGAAGCCAAACCAGCTCACCTGTGGTATGTGCCATAGCTCGATAATCAGATTTTGCACTTTATCTAGAGACAACATTTTGCTTCTTACTCTTCCATGATACAAGGTTACCTCCCGCAAACACACAATAACCAGTGGTGGAATCTCGATCATTAGGGTTTCCAGCGTAGTCCGCATCAGTAAACCCTTCAATAACATGATGTCCGTGGTTCTGATATAGTATCCCACGCCCTGGAGCCCCCTTCAAGTATCTTAGGATACGAGTAACTGCATCCCAGTGAGATGTTCGTGGAGTGGACAGAAACTGACTTACCATACTGGACGAGAAAGCAATATCAGGTCGGATGATAGTCAAATAATTCAGTTTCCCAATGATCATTTGGTATACCTCAGGATTTCTGAGCAAGTCACCTTCATCAGCGGTTAACTTTACATCCGGGATCATCAACGCATCACACGGTTTTGCCTCAATCAACACTGCATCATTTAACACATCTAGACAATTTTTCCTTTGGAGACAAGTTCCCTGATTATTATGTGAGACTTCTATTCCTAAGAAGTACTTCAAGGGCCCAAGATCTTTGTTCTGAAAGCAAGTAGCAAGGAAAGCTTTTAGTTTCAAAATACGACTCACATCACTGCAAGTGATCACAATATCATCAATATACACAACCAATAGAATACATCCAGGATTGGAGGTAGAGAAGAAAACTGAGTGATCATAGGCACTCCTACGTAAGCCAAATTTAATTATTGCAGCACTGAAGCGGCCGAACCAAGCTCATGGGGATTGTTTTAGACCATAGACCGATTTCCTTAATTTACATACCTTTCCAGACTCCCCACGATGCTGATGGTTGCTCCATGTATACTTCCTCACTAAGGTTGCCATTCAAAAAGGCATTTTTAACATCAAGTTGATGGAGTGTCCAATTGTAAATGGCAACCAAAGGGATGTAAGTTTTGCAACAGGAAAGAAAGTGTCAAAGTAAACTATACCATATGTGTGAGCATAACCCTTAGCTACTAACCGTGTCTTTAAACAAGCAACAAAACCATCAAGATTCATTTTAGTGGTGAACACCCATTTACACCCCATAACTTTCTTGTTGGGTGGAAGATATACAAGGTCCGACGTGTGGTTCCGATCGAGAGCCATCATCTCCTCTCGCATTGCCTCTTGCCAACCAGGATGAGCCAATGCCTCAGAAATAGTTGAAGGAACAAAGCTCTTGGAAGGTGACAATGCATTATTAGTAAGGAAGAAGTGTGATAAGTATAAGTACAAGTACCCTTTCGAAGGGCGATTGGGAGATCAAGGTAAGAGGGAGCAAATTCTGGAGGCGAAACAGAAGATGGTGGTGGTACACTGGTAGCCATAGTAGGTGTCGTAGTCACAGGGCATACACGATGAGAGTAAACTTTGAGGAGGTGGACGTTGAACGAAAGTTGATGGGGAAACCTTACTAGGGGGATAGACTAGAAACTCATCATTAAAGAGTTCCAGAGGAGGGGATGAAGATGAATTAGTCTGAAAGAAAGGTGTTTCTTCAAAAGAAGTGACATCTTCAGAGATAAGATACCGTCCCAATGAAGGATAATAACATCGATATCCTTTCTGTAATCGGGAATAACCGAGAAAAACACACTTGATTGATTTAGGATCAAGTTTTGAGACCTTGGAACGCATATCCCGGACAAAACATGCGCAATCAAACACATGAGGAACAAAAGAGAACACTGACGGGATTTGACCATTAAGAACACAAGGAGGCCTATGATTGATAAGGTAGCAGACAACGTCTATACCCAAAATGGTTTAGGAACCCCATGTAAAATATTAAGGCTCGAGCTACTTCTAGTAGGTGACGATTCTTTCATTCAACTAAACCATTTTGTTAGGGTGTATAGGGACAAGAAGTGTGGTGCAAAATCCCATGGCGAGATAAGTAAGTCTGAAAAGTGTTAGATAAATAGTCATTAGCATTATCACTTCTCAGATTGTGTATATTCTTATTAAATTGAGTTTGAATTTCAGCATGAAAGGTACAAAATGCAATAAACACATCAGAACGGGATTTCAAAGGATAAAGCCAAGTAACCCGAGAAAAATAATCACAAATGTGACAAAATAAGGATAACCAAGTTTGGAAACGACAGGACAAGGACCCCACACATTAGTGTGAACTAAATCAAAACTAGACTCAACACTTTTATTTATCCGAGGGAAAGTTGTTCTGTGATGCTTCGCAAATTGACATGCTTCACACTCTAAAACAGACTCCCGTGACAGACTAAGACCCATCTTTATGTAGTACAAGAAGAGATGTATGACCAAATTGACAATGAACTTTTAACAGAGATGAACTGGTGCATGCAAGTGATCTCAGCACCAAGGATTCAAAAACATATAAGCCATTAACCAATCTGCCTTTACCAATAATCTGCTTCGTCCCAAGATCCTGAAAAGGCAATGGGTGGGAAAGAAATAACACACCAGTTTGATAGGGACACAAACAATAATACTAATAAGTATAATAGTATAGTATTAAAGAGTGTGATAGTGTATAAAAGAGGGTTTTGTGCCATGCAAATCAGGAATAATGGGCCGGCCCTTGCGAAAAAAAATTACTATAAGAGTATAAATAGGAGGGGAGTGTGTGAGAAGTGGAGGGGATTTTCAGTTAGGAAATAGAGTTTGGAGAGCCTGGCACTCTCGAATTTGCCCAGAACTGTCCTAGTAATATCCTTATGTGAATAAACTAGGTCTGTCAACGGGTCGGATACAGGCCGGAACTATAAATTTCATATTCATATCCGTTGAGTAATTTTTGGTGCAGATCTGGACCTATTTACGCTTTGAGTCCTAAACATATGTTCTAGATTTGGGTCCAGCTGGTCTCGGATAAGGGCCGGGTATACCCACAAAAAAACTAAATGACATATGCAAACAAATATAATGCATAGCAAATTTTTTGTTCATATTGAAATATATTATATATATATATATATATATATATATATATATAAATAAGCGAAATGTTGTTCTCCATTACTCCATTATATAAATAAGAAAAATACAAGTACACAATATACGTTATATGTATATTAGTAAACTCATAGAGAACCTATATCAGTAACTCATTATGGAAAACAATATTATAGTGGGTCAACCACTAACTAAGCCTACAATTATTAAAATAATTATCATCATTATCATTATCCCAGTGCCGCAAAGGCTCCCACCTACGGTGGGGTAAGGGGGGTCGGATGTACGCAGTCTTACCCCTATACTAAAGCATAGAGAGACTGTTTCCGGATGACCCGTAGTGAAAATCGCGTCCAAAATTACATGGACTGACTGCTACTTCATAAAAAAGAAGCGCAAACAGTTTAGTGAGCCATTTTGCTTTATTCCATCATATTCTCAAGCCAAAAATTCGCGAGTCTTTGGCTCCACTGCAAATGATGGAAACCTACAATTATTAAAACATTTTTTATATTTGATTATTTTCCTTAATTTATGTTTAAATATTTCTATGTATATCGTGTGTGTTTGTGTATATAAAATTATAACTATAATTATATCATAACGGGTCGGATCCAAAACGGGCCGGAACATAAAAATCCATATCCGACCCATTTTCTCTATCATGTAACGGGTTAGGATTCGGATTCGGGAAACCGTTCTAAATTTAAATCCATACCTTCAAATACAGTGTCAGATTCGGATCTGGTCCGGGTCTAGACCCGACCCATTGACAGGCCTAGAATAAACGTTCAATATTCTTGATTGTTCTGTTCTGTTCTTGAGTGTTTTGTTAATTCAAGAATCTCGAATTTGCCCAGTACCTAACATTGGTATATAGGGACACAAATAATACTAATAAGAATAACAGAATATTATTAAAGAGTGTGATAGTGTATAAAAGAGGGTTCTGGGCCATGTAAATCAGGAATAATGGGCCGGCCCTTATATGAAATAGAATTACTATAAGAGTATAAATAGGAGGGGAGTGTGTAAGAAGAGGAGGCGGAATTTCAGTTAGAAAATAGACTTTGGAGAGCCTGGCACTCTTGAATTTGCCCAGAACTGTCCCTGTAATTTCCTTCTGTGAAGAAACGTTCAGTATTCTTGATTGTTCTGTTCTGTTCTTGAGTGTTTTGTTAATTCAAGAATCGGGACATTGCCCAGTACCTAACATTGGTATCAGAGCACGCGGCTTCCTGGAGAATCTGAATCAACGATCATTCCAGGGCATCAACAACCTGGAGCTATGGAGAAATTCTATATGTCACCGCGAATGGAAAAGAGTTTTGTCAATATGGAACAACATATGAAGGAGATGAGAACTACATTGGGCGAGATGCGCGACATGTTGCGCAAACCTCGTCGCAGGCAACCTAAAGATCGAGTGAGGAGCCCAACTAGATGCCGTTGGCCAACTGAAAATCAGTTGTCATCGTTCGTAGCTCTTCCTAGTTCGCAAACGCGAATGGCTTCTTCCAGTTCACAATTTCGTCTCACAGTTTGCAATCGCGAACTTCATCTCCCAGTTCGCAGTCACGATCTCCTTCTCTCACTTTGTCGCTAAGTGCGCAGGTTTCTTCTCAGTCGCGAGCAACTCCTTCCAGTTCTCTGGCTTCATCGCAAAGTGTTTTTCCTCACCGATCATCATCGCAAGTCATTTCTCCTAGTTCGCAGACTGTGTCGCAGGTAGAAGATATCAGTTCGCAGTCACTACCTGATTCTCCGAGTTCGCAGGTTTGGTCGCAAACCACCTCTCGCAGTTCGCAATTAGATGCACCGCCTCCATAGTTGTCACGACGTCGTTTAAGCGTCGCCTAGGCGCTGGCGGTGGAGGGACGCCGTGCTCAACCGACTCGCCTGAAGCTGTCAAGGCGTAACTTGGCGTCGATTAGGCATTTGAAAGTCGTCCTGACGGCGCCCAGATCCAGTTTTCACCGACCGACTTGTCGGCTAGAACCCTGGGCCCTTCAACATTTGGTCATCGTCGCAGGTTGCCACCTCTGGTCACCGCCGCTAGTCGACGCCGCTGGTCCGGCTCTATCTTTGCTCTCTCGTTCCCGTTTTTAAAGTCATTACTGTCTTTTGCTTTATTCTACGTTGTTTGGCTGGACTTATCTTTTAATCTTTAGCCCATGTCATATGGAGTGAAGGCTTCTTACTATACAGTATACACTTCCTATTTACAGTTGGGGTCCATCTAATATTTCTTTCCACTCCTTTGAGTAAATGTCTGTAAGTCTGTTACACTTGCATTATTGTACATATCATTACCTTTATGGAAATTTATATTGAACACTTAGGAGGTGTTCACTTCGATGCTAAAGTCACAGTTAGGTTAGACAGGTGAAGTAAACACGCACGTTGCTTAAAAAGCCGCTTACTAACCGAAAGAGGTGCTTAAAGTGCCGCTTACTAAGCATACCACCCTCCATGTATTAATTAAGCGTCACTTTAAGCTTTTTCAGCTTCCGAATTTACCCCTTACCCTTACCCTATTGTTACCCCTCTACCCACTACCCCACCCCGCTTAACCCTACCTTACTACCCCGACCTCGACCCCACCCTACCCACTACCTCCATCCTCGTACCTTACTCCTACCCTACCCCCGACCATTACCCCACCCCCACCTGTACCCCTTTTCCCTACAACGACCCTACCACATGCCCCCACCCCGATCCATAGCTAATGCCACCCTACCGCCACCCCTACCACCTCGACCCTACCCTACCTACCCCTACCTCGGCCCCACCCCCGATCCCGACCCCACCCTATCGCCATCTACCCCTAACCCCTACCCTACCTAACCACGACCCCGACTCCACCCCACCCTTACCCCCTACCACATGCCCCTACCTCGGCCCCATCCCGATCCCGGCCCCACCCTACCGCCATCCTTCCTACCCGACCCCCCTTACCTTACCCTGACCCCACCCTACCCTACCTTACCCCGACCCAACCCTACCCTACCTTACCCTGACCCACCCTACCCTACCCCCTACCTTGGCCCCACCCCGATCCTGACCCCACCCTATCGCCACCCCCCTTACTCTACCCTACCCTGACCTGACCCCACCCCTTACCCCTACCCTACCCCCTACCACATGCCCCCTACCTCGGCCTCACCCCGATCCCAACCCTACTGCCATCCTACCCCCACTTACCCCCTATCGTGGTAAGGTCAAGGGTGTGGAATTGGGCAGGGGTAGGGGTAGGGGTACGTGGGGTATAGGGGGGTTAGGGGTATGGGTACACGTACGAGGTGACCCCACATATTATATTATATACTTGTGTTCATGAATGTTTGTGCGTCTATATATGTATAGGGTTATTTTGGACATTTTAATGTTAAACAGTGTTTTAAACCCTTTGAAGTAAACACGTTCTTACAACATTGCTTATTTTATGCGCCGCTTATTAACGCGGGTCTTAATAAGCACCGTTTAGTAACCCGTGAAGTAAATGTGTCCTTATTGTAGATAAATAATTAAATTGTCAGATATTTTCTCTTCTAGTTTATCCTTTTATTTTGTTTCATATTTTTAAATTTTTAAATTAAATTTATGATACTCCCTTTGTCCCATTGGACTTTGCAAATTTTCCTTTAAGGTTGTCCCAAAAAATTTGCCACTTTCCTATTAAAGCAACTAATTTGTGGTTCTGGACATTTCTCTCTCCTCTGCACAAATCTCAACCACACAGTTTTTACTATTCTTATTTCTCACATACTTTGCACTTGGCAAAGTCCACCGGGACGGAGGTAGTATATTATTTCATTATTTCATGGTTGGTAACCCCACCACCGCCTCCGGGACCTCTACTGCCATCAGAAAAAGTGCTACTGCAGGCTGCTGTCTATACACCCAGAAAATATTGACAAAATAGAGGCTCTCAAACTGAAGTCCAAGATAGAACTGGACATTACATATTTGACTAAGGAAAAAACCAGAGGGTAATCCTAAAAATAATAAGCAATTGAATCACATAATGGTAGCAGTATGTTTATTTTTGTAACAAGTTGGGCATGATAAATACCTATGCTTCAACTTGAGGGCAGTGTGAAAGATATTCTAATATCTTTCACACTGTGATTGCAGGCCACATGCCGTTATGAGTGATTCATACATTGTGCTAGCCACTAGTGGTATACTTTGGTCCATTTGAAGGTGGGAATACCAAACATTGTTACTTATCAGGTGGCTCAATAAGTTGATTGATGGATTTTTATTGATACCGTTTGATAGTGGGAAGGTTGATTCACTGTTTACCACCCTTAGAAGCTTGAGGGTAAGCTTGCTGTCTAAGAGAGTGTCAGGATATGAGCCCGTGATCTGCTTGAGGGTAATATTAATATTGTTATTAGTTTCCCTTTATCATAAATTAGTAATGGTTTCCCCTTAGTATGGGTTTTATATTTTAGCTAATATACCTAGTAGCAATGTTGCAATAAGTTATTACAATATTTACTTTCTCATCAAGATATGTGAGTAGTAAAAGTAGGGGGTTTAACTTCGTTAATAAGATCATATAATTCAAAACTCAATTATAATGCTTTCACAAGGTTAAATCTAGAAGGTTTTTGTCAAGAACACTTCTCCATACCCCAACCAGGCTCATAACATAATTATTAGTTGTTAGTGGTGTAATCAGGGGAGGTATGGTAAAGTTTTGTATTCTTTCCACCACCACCAACCTCATCTCTATTTTATGTTTAGTACATGACTAAGAAAATATTCCCTCTATTCGTATTAATTGCTTCAGTAGGGTTTTCACAGGTTTTAAGAAGAAAATTGTAGGAGTAGTTAGAGGTGAGCATGAGACGGTACGAGACGGTTATTTAAAAGTACATGTCCCATCCTAAAGTACAGTTCTTTTAAAAATTAAAGAACCGGTACCGTCCCGAATATGTATAGAACCTATCTCGTTCCGTACCAATTTTTGGTACGGTGCGGTACGGTTCAATATGGTTCTTCGGTAGTATTCGATTCCTAAATAATTAACTCCCACAAAGTAAAAACTATTTTAGGTTTAGCATTAATAAATAATTGTACAAAAATAGAAGGGATGTCATCACATGACAAATATATAGGATTGTAGGATTGTACATAAATAATTATAGATTGAAATCAAACATAACTGAAATACAAAACTAATAG